ACTCTTATTGCAAAAAGTCCAACTATGGAGTATCTCTCTCTCTCTTTCTCGCATACTTGTATAAAAAAAATTAAGAAACAGATTGAAATGAACAATTTCAGCTTTTTACAATGCTTATAATATTCAAAGCAGATTTCTTTCAAATATTCCAGTTTTGAAACACAAGACAAACAACTCCTATAAATATAAATTATATTTATTCAACAATATACGGTAAACACGGGAAGTAACTCTTATATGCAAATACATGTAGTCCAAACTACGAAAGATTCGCGAAAATAAATACACTATTCTTTACACGCAAAAATAAGATATCGCGAAATAAAAGTGATCTACAGTGCATCGAATAACTTGCAACAGAAGCAGATCAAGCTGCAAAAGCAGGAAAGAAGAAAGATCTCTGTGACATCACAAAGAAGCTAGCTGGGAAGCGAAGTAAACAAGAAAGGTCAGTGAAAGATAAAACAGGGAAACAACTAGAAGGGGAAGAAGAACAAAGAAGGAGATAGAAAGAACAAAGAAGGAGATGGAAAGAACAATTTTAAGAACTTTGAATAGGCCAATTCCACCTAACCCTCCTAACATTACACCAGCAAACGAAGACCTAGACATAGACTGGGGGCCTCCTACTAAGGAGGAAATCAAAATAACGCTAAAACAGATGAGGAAAGGCAAGTCAGCAGGGCCTGATAATATCCCGGCAGAGGCACTTAAAGCTGATTTTGACAACTCAGCCAACATACTCCATCCACTTTTTCTGAAAATATGGGAGGAAGAAACAATCCCAGAAGAATGGAGAGGACACCCAATGAAGCTTCCAAAAATGAAGACTTCAGCAATTGTGCCAACTATAAAGGAAAAACACTGTTGGATGTTCCAGGGAATATATTTAACAGGATCATACTGAACAGAATGAAAGAAGAAGTGGATGATAAGTTACGTGACCAACAAGCTGGATTTCATTAGAAAAGATCTTGTTCGGACCAGATAGCAACGTTGAGCATTATATCGAACAATGTGCTGAATGGAACTCCTCCCTCTATGTAGGCTTCATAGATTAAGAGTAAGCCTTTGACAGTATTGACAGGGAGACAATATGGAAACATCTGAGACATTATGGAGTTTCTTTTAAATCGGTAAAAATCAGCCGCAACTCTTAAGAACACTTGACATGCAGGGTCATACATGGAGGATAACTGACGGATCCATTCAAAGTAAAAACAGGAGTTCGTCAGGGATGTTATTTGTCACCCTTTCTGTTTCTCCTTGCAATAGACTGGATAATGAAATCATCCACAGACAATAGAAGAAATGGATTACAGTGGACACCATGGTCACAGCTAGACGACTTAGACTTGCTTTAAAGCCTAATTTTTCAGAGTTCTTTTGTATCTTGTATATTTTTTAAACATTGTTCACATGTTTCTCCTTGTATAAGGAATCGTCAATGTATGCAACAGACACATAGCCTTTAGATCTGAGTGAAGCATACACTGGCTTTAATAGTTTTGTAAAAAGCCTGGGAGCATTTGAAAGACCATATGGTAAATAAGTGTATTGATACAGGGTTCCTTTCCATATGAATCTTAAATATTTTAGGTCAGAAAAAGCTACATGCATCACTTAAGTCCACAGAACCCATATAACATCCGGGTTGAATTAATCTTAAAGCTGTACACAGTCCTACCATTTTAAAATGAGCATACTCAATGTTTTCATTTAGTTGTTTCAAATTCAAAATAACTCGATAGTTACCATCCTTTTGGGACGTAAAAACACAGTCGAGATATATTCACCAGCAGAGTGTGAAGCTATCTCCACTACCCCTTTACCCATTAACTTTGCTAACTGATTGTCTAACCCAACTGCCTCTGCGGCATTAAGTGTAGTTTCTCTCACTGAATATTGAACAGGCAATGAAGTGAACTCTAATGGATATCCTTTGACAGTATGAAGGATGTATCTATCTTGTGTTATAGAATTCCACACAGGTGGAAAATGGCTAATATCCCCCAGTATATATGTTGAATGTCACCTACTTTCTCTACTTCTGGTAGATCACATTAAGACTAAAAATAGAATAATATGGTTGCAGAGAATTTATTTTCTGGAGTTTCAGACGAAAATACAAGTAAATGACCTACTTCAAAAATCCAAGATGGCGGTCTCGATGGGTACCTTGTTTATTTTAGGTATGGGTATATTTTTCTTTATTAAAAGAAAAATAAGTAAAGTCAGGTGCCTGTGCACCACATATACGAGCTTGTCTCGGATATGTGAGTTTATGGAAGTGACCTTCTTAGTTTGATTATTCCGGAGAAATTAAGGAAATTAATAGAATCATAAATGTCATTCTTTCCGGATAACCATAATTCATTTGGGTAAATTCTAATATATTAGGTAATTCAACTTCCTTTCTAGAAGATTCGAGAAAAGTGTAAGGTCACAAATTTGCTGTAGGAAATATCGCTCTTGATATTATTTGACCCACCCTCCCAACCCCTTTATATGAAAAGATGAAAAACTGCTGGTTGCTTTTTTAAAAATTCATTTTAGCGGATTGCTTGAAGATGTCCTGTTTTGATTCAAGTCCAGTCCATGTCGCGGTGATGACGGTTGGTGTATGGTATTCCGTCTCACCTCAACGCAATTGGAGGAGTGCAACACACGAAGTACATTACATTGGTTGATTGCTATATTGAAGTTGAACTGTTGAATTTGTACATTGAATTGAAAATAAATATGCAATATTGATTTATATTGATAAGTGGGCATTGGATAATACTGTTTAAGGGTAATCGACTTTGGATTTTATGTACATATTTTGGTGACGTCCACGCACTTGTGACCTACCCAGTGCTGGATCCGCCTAATTTTAGGCCGTCACATATTTTGTAATTAATAAGTCTGTTTTAAAGCATCTTATGCTGTACCTATTTTAAAATAGAAATAGTTTGCAGTATTCAAAGATCTTTTTTCTTACCTGATTTTAATATTAAATACTTTTTAACGATATTGATTATCCTTATCGTCATTTTTGAAAAAGAGAACGAGACAGCATTTTTCAAGTTAGGTATACAGATTTTGTTCAAGAATAAAAGAAGTCTTCCACGTTTCCCTCATATAATAGTAAGTTGTTTGATTTTCGTAGATGAGTATGCCCGAGACATTCCGAATACGAACACAACAAAATATGTCGTCTGATCAACCCTCAAAGGCATAGCTCATAGGTAGTGGCAACTAGGTATGATATGTTTATTTTCACACTAAAATGAAATTATAAATTAAAATTGTTGTACGTATTAGTGAAATCTAAATAAGCAAATCATAACCTTGGTACATGTAGGTCGTTGGACTGATCATAGACATACATTTATAATAAAGGGATCTTTGATATGTCTCTGGAATGATGCGATATTGAACACTTTCAGGACAGGCGTTAATTTGAATACAGATACCAAAAACAAGAGGCCCATGGGCCACATCGCTCACCTGAGAATGTTTTGTCATATTGTTCTTTACCAGATTTCCCCCTTGTAATACATATTGTGGCCCCGCCCTACCCCCTGGGGTCATGATTTGAACAATTTAGAATCTACACTACCCCAGGGTGCTTCCACATCAGTTTCAGCTTTTCTGGCCCAGTGGTTCTTGAGAAGAAGATTTTCAAAGATTTTTCCTATATATTCCTATGTAAAACTTTGATTCATCATTGTGGCCCCGCCTAACCCCCGGGGGTCATGATTTGAACAATTTAGAATCTACACTACCCCACAGTGCTTCCACATCTGTTTCAGCTTTTCTGGCCCAGTGGTTCTTGAAAAGAAGATTTTCAAAGATTTTTTTAATATATTTCTATGTAAAACTTTGATTCCCCATTGTGGCCCCGCCCTACCCCCGGGGGTCATGATTTGAACAATTTAGAATCTTCACTACCCCAGGGTGCTTCCACATCAGTTTCAGAAGATTTTCAAAGACTTTTCCTAAATATTTCTATGTAAAACTTTGATTCCCCATTGTGGCCCCGCCCTACTCCCGGGGGTCATGATTTGAACAATTTAGAATCTACACTACCCAACAATGCTTCCACATGAGTTTCAGCTTTTCTGGCCCAGTGGTTCTTGAGAAGAAGATTTTCAAAGATTTTTCCTATATATTTCTATGGAAAACTTTGATTCCCCATTGCGGACCCGCCCTACCTCTGGGGGTCATGATTTGAACAATTTAGAATCTACACTACCCCAGGGTGCTTCCACATCAGTTTTAGCTTTTCTGGCCCAGTGGTTCTTGAGAAGAAGATTTTCAAAGATTTTTCCTATATATTTCTATGTAAAACTTTGATTCACCATTGTGGCCCCGCCAAACCCCCAGGGGTCATGATTTGAACAATTTAGAATCTACACTACCCCACAATGCTTCCACATCAGGTTCAGCTTTTCTGGCCCAGTGGTTCTTGAGAAGAAGATTTTTAAAGATTTTTCCTATATATTTCTATGTAAAACTTTGATTTCCCATTGTGGCCCCGCCCAACCCCCAGGGGTTATGATTTGAACAATTTAGAATCTACACTCTCCAAGGGTGCCTCCACATAAGTTTCAGCCTAATTGGCCCAGTGGTTCTTGAGAAGAGGATTTTTTAATGACCCAACCCTATTTTTGTCTTTTCTTGATCATCTCCCCTTGTGAGGGGACTTGGCCCTTCATTTTAATAATTTTAATTTCCCTTCACCAAAGAATGCTTTGTACCACGTTTGGTCAAAATTGGCCCAGTGGTTCTTGTGAAGAAGTCGGAAATGTGAAAAGTTTACAGACGGACAGACAGACAGACGGACTGACGGACGGACGACGGACAAAATGTGATCAGAAAAGCTCACTTGAGCCTTCGGCTCAGGTGAGCTAAAAATCATTTAATTGAGTTTTTTAGTTGAATTTATTATCACAAATCATGAGAAAATGTTTAAGCTATATATAAAAAGAGTTACTGAACTTATATTGGTGAATATTGGCACGAGTTGGCTGAACAAATGTACAAGTTAACCATATAATAATGGCATAAATGAAACTGTTACCATGAACACGCTTATGTCTTATTTTACGATGATCTCCTATAAGTAAAACATGGATCGGTATGATTATTTTTTATTTTAAGCTTCTACTTACGGTCTTTTAGATAATTAAGTTTTTACACAAATCAACGTATTCCACAACTTAGCTACAGTTCTTTGTGTGTAAAGCACAACTCTCTAAACCAGACTCTTACGTATATAGTAACAGAAAATTCAAACAGTACTGTGCAACTATAACTTTTATGTGGAATCTTATATCTTGGACAATACGTGGGTCGATCACACTCAATATACAAAATTCCATTCTCATGAAGTAGTCAACTATTTTTTCTCACTTTGATCGTAATTACTATGTAGTCTCAAATGAACCACCATTATGTCAAGCTGTGATCTGCTGATGATTTTTTTTCCACCCGGATTAGAGAGAGGGGAATGTTTTTTTTAATTCTCCATGGACGTCACGCATAAGATATTAGCTTTGTCGTCTGAGGGATATAATGTCTTGTTTTAACGATCCATTACTAAGTCTCAGTATTGCCTGTAAAAAAAAAGAAACACAATATTATAACAAGAGGCCCAGGGGCCACATCGCGCACCTGAGCACATCGGCTAGGAAAAAGAACAAATCAGATCAGAACTGAAAAGTTTACTGAGGGGGGGGGGGCTTGAATTTTAATACTACTTGAGAATGCCTTCATATCAATACAGCATTTGACTTTGATGTTCTTGATAAAAAATATCTAAAAATATTTTGTTCCTATATATTACTTCGTAATAATTTGAATTTGATTCCCCATTGTTTTCTTCCCTACCCTAAAGGGCCATGATTCGAACAAATTTAAATCTTCAATACATGAGGATGCTTACAAGTCAATATGACTAAAAGTAGCTATTCTCTGCTTGGGATTGTTTCCTATATTTTTCTATAAAAAACTTTGATCCCCCATTGTGGCCCCACCCTATCCCTGGGAGTTATGTTTTGAACAAACTAGAATCTACACTAAGGAGGGTGATTCCATATAAATATCACTAATCATGGCTTTCACGATATATTCCAATGAAAAATTTTGATCGGCCATTTTGGCCTCATCCTGCCCCCGGGGGTCATGATTTGAACAAATTTTAATCTACACTACCTAAGGATGATTTCACATGAGTTTTATCTTTCCTGTCTCAATTGTTCTTGAGAAGAAGATTTTCCTATATATTCCTATATAAAACTTTGATCAGCCATTGTGGCCCAATCCTACCCCTGAGGGTCATACTTTGAAGAAATTAAAATCTACACTACCTGAGGATAATTCCATATAAATATCACTAATCATAGCTTTGAAGTACTTGAGAAGAAGATTTTAAAAGATTTCCATATATATTCCGATGTTAAAGTTTGATCGGCCTTTTTGGTGGGCCCCACCCTACACCCGGGGGGACAGGATTTGAATAAACTTGATTCTACATTACCTGAGGATGATTTCACATGAGTTTCATCTTTCCTGTCCTTATGGATCTTGAGAAGAGAATTTTTAAAGATTTGTTTCCCATATATTCCTATGTAAGATCAGCCATTGTGGCCTCACCCTACCCCCAGGGGTCATGGTTTGAACAAACTTGAATGTACACTACCTGAAGATGATTCAACATGACTTTCATCTTTCCTGTCTCAATGACCAAGGTTCTTGAGAAGAAGATTTTTCCAATATATTCCTATGTAAAACTTTGGTCGGCCTTCGTGGCCCCACCCTACCCCCGGGGGTCATGACTTGAACAAAGTTAGATCTACACTACCTGAAGATGATTCAACATGACTTTCATCTTTCCTGGCCTAGTGGTTCTTGAGAAGAAGATTTTTCATGATTTTCCCTATATATTCCTATGTAAAACTTTGATCAGCCATTGTGGCCCCACCCTACCCCCGGGGGTCATGATTTGAACAAACTTCAATCTACACTACCTGAGGATGATTCCACATGAGTTTCATCATTCCTAGCCCAGTGGTTCTTTAGAAGAAGATTTTTTTTAAAAATGCCATTAATTTTGCACTTATTCATAATTATCTCCCCTTGGAAGAGGGCGTGGCCCTTCATTTGAACAAACTTGAATTCCCTTTACCCAAGGATACTTTGTAGCAAGTTTGGTTGAAATTGGCCCAGTGGTTCTTGAGAAGAAGATGAAAATGTGAATAGTTTACGACGACAACGACGACAACGACGTCAAATTCATACCATCAATTCCTTCTCCAGTAATATTGAACCAAAATTCTGAAATTCTTTAATTCTGTTTCCAAAATCACACCTACTTGAAAAACTAAAATATTCACTAAAACTAAACATGCGAAAAATTGAGCAAAATGTAGAGTTTAACTTATTTAATAATATACAAAAGGTTAATAAATGTGTTTTTTTTAATTCTAACAAAAAGAGGACCGATTTTAAATTACTTTTACAATAGACATGTTATTAAGTGACTTTTTTTTTACTGAAAAATTAGCGGCGAAAGAAGATGCACTGTCATCGAATAATCTCAATAAATACAGTACAGTAGAATTTTTAGGAAATATATTAGGCTCACTGATTCAAAGATCTACTTTAAAGAATAAATCGAAGACAGTAAAAGAAATCAGAACTGTTCAAATCAGAGAAACTAACAAAAATAAAGTTGATGTAATTGTAAGGAGATAGAGATCTAAAATAAATATTTCAAAAATTAATAGAATACCTTATTACAATGAAAGCAATAAACCCTGAGATGAAAAAGAAATCCATCTTACACGGAAAGCAAAACAATCAAACAAAAACATATGGAATGTCTGATTTAAGGGCGCTATTGTAAATAAAGCGAATAATTTTGAAAGATTATAATATTATAGTTAATTATATGACCTTTAGAATCGTTTGCTGCACTTCATACCCCTAATAATTTTGCTGCTATATTGCATAGTTCCGAAAACAATGCTACTTAATGTACCTCCTTATTAATTTCCTAAAATAATACCTTTTATAATACCTTAAATACCTAATGTTGCTTGTTGGTTGATATTGAAGATTCTAATAAGTTTTGAGTGCGATAATTTATGAATGTTATGAGTATATGAAATACATTTATCATTGTGAAAGTAAAGAAGACTGAAATAGAAACGAAGTTCCTACTCGTTTAAAACATTTAGATAATGAAAGGCGATAACAGAACTCATATTTTACCTGAGAAAGATCTTTCCATTTCAGATCAAAGTCGTCCTTCTCCATCACGTTGGATGTCTGTGTTTTATGTTCCATCTCATTCCTGTATATTCGTATTCTTTCTACGTCATCAGTTGGGAGTTTCTGTCCTATTTCAGGTTTCTTCCCCCAGCCGTTGCTTGGAGGAAGGAGGTATGGACCATAGTTCCTCAACAATTTGTACATTATGGTTATATCAAATGTGGAGGAAGTGGGAATGGACTTATCAGCTGTATGAATATACAAAAAAAACAAGAAGTGTTGAAAATTTCTTAGTGTCGCTCTGCTTTGTTTAAAAAAATAGAAGCAAACTGTGTCACTAGTTTTATTCTACCTGGAAAAAGCAGAGTACATTGATCTTCATTCATTTTATATTGTCCACATTTTAGATTGTCCTTGTTTGTAGTAAGTGTTGTAACCAGGTCTACAGGTGGAAATAATCTGTCAAAATAGAGCTGCAAAGCGTCTCTTCCTAACTTTGTGAGTTTCTTAAAAGTCTTAAAATTTAACTTTCTTAATTCAGGTTCGGAGAGTCGAGTACATTCATCTTGGTCCAGGAGGTCATCCAAATCTGAGGAATCAAAGCCATACAAAAAGCTACATTTTTAATGAATTATCTTTAAAGCCATTTCTCTTCTATTGAAATCAATTCCTTACTAAAATATGTTACCTGAAATCTCCGCTTTAACACCCTGAAAATAGAGGCCAAAGGAAATAAATATTCCTTATAAAACACTAGTATTTCAATGATGAACCAAAACTTAAAAGTCTGCTATTGAAAGTAAGAGCTTATGTCACCCCGATGTATCAACAAGATCTATTGGATTTCAAAGCAGATAAATCAAAATACGCAAAACCTCCCGCAGTCATTCACAGGACCACTTATTTTAAGAATATTATCTTCTAAAAAAGTATTTTAGAGGATTTTTTTTATGAAGAAAGAAATTCTACTTTCTATCACGTTTCATCAAGATTGTCTAAGTCATCTTTGAGAACAGTCATGGTCAGAATTATAGATATAGCTATGACAGTAGTTTGCTCCCGTTTCATTCGGAGAAGCAAATTTATAAGTATATTTTTTCTCATGATCAAGCAGGCATTATTCTTGTACATTGCATGTGTAACAATCACTAGTTTGACCCTTTGAGTACCCCTTGTATTTCTTGGAAGTATTATACTTCAAATAACTCTTTATTAGCCAAAAGCTATGCCTACAGGTAACAACTACTAGGTCGTTCCCAGCAAAACTGACCAGTGTGCAAAACACAGTGTAATGTTCAATATCAATTTTTGCACCAGCATATGCCTGAAGCTGTAGATTAACTGTGAACGTTATGCATTTTCTGCACGGAAAAAGACAATGAAGAATATATTTTGTATTTTTTCCCCTAGGTTTTATAAATGTACTATTAACATTCTTTCTATAAATGCAGGTAATCATCAGTGGGTTACTTGTGTGCGCATTCAGATGTGACTAAAGTGAGAGTGTTTGAATATGTTTGGTTATCTTTGTCAGAAGTTCAAGTTCTGTTAAAGAACAGCCTGTTTATTTTACTGTATTTTTGTTCGCTGTATTACTTTTTTCATTAAATGTATGATCGGAAGTAAATGACTGGAAGTATTGTCAGTTATTTTAATTTTGATATATGTAAAACTGTTTAATGATGTAAAGAAAAGCTTAGGGGCACCTGATCCCACCTCTGATGTTTTGGAGGTCCATGTTTGCTCTGCTTCAATTTTGTATTGTCTAATGGACTTTTAAGTTTGAATGCTGTTCGTTATATCCATAATTTCATTATATTATATTGTACTCAATCATAACTAGATAGTTATTAACTACATCAATGCATAATTGTATAATAATTTGTAAATAAATTCTTTTTTCCTTGAAGAAGCCTAGCTCATCAACATTATAGTATGTTTCAATTATCTCCATATAAAGATTTAAACTTACAAAATTTAGTTTTTGCAAAAAATTGATCGCAACCAGCGATTTATTAGCAGAAGCAATGCCTCTTTTTTTTCTTTCTGCTATGAATTAATTTGTGACACTAACCAATTTCCAGTAAACTAGAAGAGAAGATTCACATAATGTGTGGTGATTGATCAATCCATGTCGTGGACAAGGTATCTTCCCTTTTTTGTAAATAACTTTCTCTTCCACAAAGCAATCATCGTGTTCACGAAACACTTCCTGTTTACAACATTGGTATCCGACTGTATACATATCAATTCTCGTGTGAAAATTCCCAAGTAGGTCTTTCAATAAGCTTTCAACAGTATCACGTACTTTCAATGCTACTTCTTTCATGACAAGAACATTGCAATTGGTTTGCTGAAAAATCTGAAGCTGAATTGAAGAATTGTTTACCGCTAGCGCGACCACGTGTTGCTTATAAGCAAAACAGGCAACGTTTTTGTACAAACAAAGACCATTGTCTTCTAACGTCCCCCATTCTTCATTGGTCCGTGTTAAACATGCAACAATAAGGCGGTAGTAGAGAAAAAATGGCAGAAACTGAAATCTAAAGACCAATACGGATGTTTTTGTTTGTAAAGATTGAAAATAAGCTTCTTCTTTAATTCCAAATGCACGTTTGTTCATACATGGAATGTAATGTGCGTCGGTACCTATAACAAATAACCCAAGGCGCTGCATATAATGGAGAAGATTCGTTTTCTTTTCATATCTGTGCCACAAATCAAACTCTAAATACCTTTCGTTCCATAAACAAGTCAAAAGTCTATCTGGAATATGACCACTTCTGTAAAAATTCTCCCAATCCGAATTATTTTCTGCAATATCCCTGATGTGGTTTGGGTCGGTAATGATATTCGTAAAGAAATCAATAAACCACTGGATATCAATAATGACTGTTTCAGACAGATTTTTGTCATTAAAGTATAGTACGACCCCTATGTCATGGTAAAATTTTAGAACGTCTCTTATTTGGAATATTTTTTCTTCGTTTCCACCAAAACATTTATATGATATATCCTCTAGTAACGCCAATCTGGTTTTTCGTCTCCTGTTTTCTCTGAATACAATTTCACACAGAGCCCAGTCTGAAGGAATGGTTTCTCTCCATCTATCTTCTTTGGCAATTGCGACAATACACTTCTCTAATTCTGAGAGTGAATCACTGTTAGATACGCCATCTGTCTGAAATCCAAGAACAAAGCATCTCTTTCTGTCCAAATGTTTTTTCAGATGTTTGTTAAACTGCAAGTGTTCCAGAATACTGTTGTAGAAAGTGTCAGAATTCTACAAAATAAGGTATTTTAGGAGTCATCACGCTATACAATTCTTCAAATTTCAAACAGTTAGAGTAAGACATAATTTCAACTAAATTCTACAACTATATTTATACTTTGAATGTAGTATGTGATAAATATTATGACAGCAACACTCTAGTACCTGGTCTTTAACCTTGTCAAGATGAGTTCCAACGATGATAACAGGAGCATCTCTGTCACAATAGGTGTGAACTGACTTCAGCCAAAACAGCAGGTATTCTGTGAATTGAAAATTAAGAATTTTGATTCAATCGTGATGTCTATTTGTAGCTCTATGCTGAACCAGAGAGAGAGAGAGAGAGAGAGAGAGAGAGAGAGAGAGAGAGAGAGAGTACTAAGATGATTAAAATTCAGAGAAATGATCTTCCGACACTTTGATTCAGAACAACGTTGACAAAAGCTTTAAGTTCTTGTTTATTTCACTTTTGTGATGTAATAGAAAACGATACTGTTCCGTCCAAAACGTCTGTAATTTTTGCACAAAGGAAGATATGAGTACCTATTTAGAGCAACAGAAGTCATAAAATGAATAGGATTTAAAACATTTGAACGACATCATCTTTTGCTATTTCTTGAAAGACAGTCAACTAAGTTATAACTGTCCAATTTAAAGAAATATGTGTATCATCAAAAATAATGAACAGTATTTAATAACTTATTTGGTCGGCTACAGGTATGCTATTGGACTAAGAAAACACAACAAAGGCACAATTAAAAAATGAGTCCAACATGTTTCTCAATGTAAAGAAAATATAACTTTCAGCTCCAATAAATGATGAAGTGTATGTTCCAACGCACGATGAAAATCAAAATTTGAATAAGAAGGTTCTACATTGTATTTTAAAATTCTATTGTAATATTAATGTAAAGTGCATTGACACCACACTTCTTATTAATCGTTATGCCTACCTAGTAAGAATAATCAATCCTTCTTCTTTCTCGTTAGTATTCGGAATAATTTTGCTAACTTTCTTTAGGAGCATATAATTTCTTATGTTAAAGGAATGCAAGGACGTTGGATAATTAGGGCATTATCCTATTCTACCATGATGCTTATATGAACATGGAATTCAGAACTCTTGGAAAAGAGGTGTTAGTTAACTAAAATCGAATTCTCACAATGCCAAAGCACGAAAAGAAAACATCTATTCAAGACTAACCAACCGATCTATGCTCATTTTTTCAACAAGTTTTAGCCTAACCAAAATCTATACATGTATTAGACATTGTTAAAAAAACTTTGACCAGAAAATCTTATTAATAGATAAAAATGTACTCCTTTAATACAATCAAAGTATTGAAAGAACTGAAATCCGGACTTTTATTGCTCGTGTATATTGTCTGATCAGAAATTTGTACATATTTATTTTTTTTCCATTTGGCCATACCGATCACGGTAGCTCAGTCGGTAGAGCGCTCGCTCCGTGATCGGGAGGTCGTGAGTTCGTATCTCGGCCGCGACTGATCTAGTCGTTAAAATTGATAGCAACTGTTCCTTCGCCATGCGCTCGGCACTTTGAAGTGAAATTTGCGGGTCCTTCGGATAAGACCTTAAAAACCGAGGCTCCGTGGCAGGTGTTGGCACGATAAAGATCCCTCACTGTTCAATGGCCCTGAGTGCCGAGTAAAGGTCTAAATTTGAAGCCCTTCACCAGCATAAATTCTCGAGAGGGACGTTAAACAATATACAATCAATCAATCAATCCTTTTGGCCATTAATTTTTAACAGATAGAGTTTGTTTGGTCATGATTTAAAACAATATCTCATATACCAGTAATTAAAATTAACAGTCCAGACCCCAAGATATGTTATTATTTTAAAATTTAATAAATAATTTTTCCAAGAAATTCTCGCATATTTTCTGTTCAATAAGCATAAAATTTTTTCTCATAATTTAAAAATTCGGTCTTGAAATAGTTCAAATAATGCACATGTGTATTTTATATACATTCCTTAAGTTTCAAACAAACGGTAGTTTTATTGAACTACATGTAAAAATACTGATACATGTACATTGTCAAGCATGTTAATTCTCAAAAACTCCAATTCACTATACCATTAATTTGCTAAAAATCGAAAGAGAATATAACTACTAACATAACATCGACGAAAACGAAAACGAAACGTAACTCTTCAACAATTTCAACATTTCGAAAAGCCTAATTGAAAAAAGTCCGCTTACAATATGCGTACAGCAGAGTATGTGCACAAATTGTTATATTACGATTATCCCGATAAAGCAAATATCTAATTTCACTTTTAGTTTAATTTTCAAGCAAAATTATTGATCATCAACTTTTCCAACGATTGGGATGTTAAAATATTTGTTTGAATATCGTCTCGCAATGGGACTAGTTTGTTTATCGGAAGCGGTTTAAAATTAGGAAAAGTATTAAAGTAACAGGAAGTACAATGTACACTTCAACAGGATGTGACGAGTTAGGTAGACTTCAAGACCTCTTTGATAATGTGATTTGCGGGGTAAAGCAAAGAGAACCCTCAGAGATTGAAAGACTTGCCATGCAACATGGCACGGAAAACGAAGAAAATGCAGTAGCAACTATCGGCAGCTATCGTTGGAAAAGTCTTGCCTGTATTCTTTCCAAATTTGACATTTTACGAGAAAGGTTGTGTTGTCATTAATCAAGATGACAAGCCATTTATGGAAGTTTCATCAGACGGCAGTTTGAGAAAGGGCACGTCCCTTAGCTCAACTAAAACAGCAGTGGAGATCAAATGTTCTGTCAGTAAAGTGTACTCTCAATTCCCAAAGCGATATCTGTTACAATGCCTTTGCAAAATTCAGGCATTAGAAGTCGACAACTTAGTATTTGTAAGTTGGACACCCCAAGAAACAAATGTATTCATGGTAGGGCGAGATGATAGCCTTTATGAGAAAACATTGAATGTATCAAAACATTTGTTTTGTGACAATAAAAAGAAGCCAACTTAGTTAAACGAAGAACAAAGGCTATTAAAATTAGAGATCTCAAACAAAAGCAAGAACATTCGTCTCGTTGCAAGACTTTCCTCGTCTTTTGTTTCAGACAGAGAAAATAACATTTACAATTCAAATTCACTCGAGTTTAGAAATGTACAAGAGCTATTAAAGGACATCAAGAATCTGACTAAAACCAATATGAACTCAAACGAGAACGAGCATGTGAAGTTATGGTCTTTTTATATCAGGACTTGCTTGAGGCTGGAAAAAGTATCAGGTTAGAAGTGCGCCAGTTTGCTGGTTCCCAAAAGGCTATAGTTTATAATTAAGCACTGAAAACCTACGCTTGATTGTAGAAGAGGTACATACAAAATGTCACACTCAAGGAATTCATATTCCTTGTCAGTCTTTGGATGGGCAATGGCACGGGCTTGTAATACGCTCAAAAGATAGACACCCATTGACAGTTTTGCAATTACAAAAAGATGTTTGGTAAGAAGCAGAACAGAAGAAGAAAACTGACATCATAGCTAAATTGAAGCAAATGAACAAAGATGTTACTAGCTGCAGATCTGTAGCTCTCCGAAAAAAATATTGATAGACCGGAGAGCTACAGAGCCACCCATTGAAAAATCTGTATATTTATTGCGCACAAAAAAATGCGCTCGGTTCTCGATTTATTTCTCCATGTTTTTAAAACTGTAATCTCAAAATATTACTATCCGTGTGTTCCTAATATATTCTTTGACTCTTTCCACAATAAAACATTCCTCATAATTGTTGTTAATAGTCCTCCTGGCCCTGATATTGCAATCATCGAACATTTCGCTTATTTACACTGCCATTTTGGTTTCAAAGATAATTCGGTCCAATATGCTTCGTTCAGATGTCAACTACGAGAGAACTTGATAAAGGAGAGAGGAATTTTTTGAAATCTTCCATTTTTTGCAATTGAGTTAAGAATTTGGAAGAATTAATCAAGAATCAAGTGCACTTTTTTGTGCGCAATAAATATACAGTTTTTTTCAGTGGATGGCACTGTAGCTCTCCGGTCTATCAATAATTTTTTTTCGGAGAGCTACAGATCTGCAGCTAAGATGTTACATGTATCATGCGATTCAAAGGCCAGAATGACATGGAAATCTCCATTTCCTTAAACACCCAATTTTAAGTTAACGCCCCCAAAACTACCCGAATCAAGATCAAAGTTTTACCGCCGGTCAGTCATTAAGAAAACAATAGACGATTGCCTGGTCACGCATCAAACACTTTCATGTACCCGCTTTGTAAACACACGGGTTATCAAAAAACCAATAAGATCCAATGTTGGTAATTTTATTCCAGAAATAATTGAGAGTAGATAATCAAACCAATAACATAATAATTTCATGAAATATTTGTTTTCAATCACGACTGTTTGGTACCTGTAAGCAATATATCGTACGAGATATCCATAGAATTTAGGCCGTCCACAGAAATTTCATTTGAAGCAATTGGAAGTCCACCAATCAAAATTACGAAAAAATGGAATAAAATAAATAAAGATATTCTGCATTAACGGCTTGATTTACAAAAGATATTTATATTTGTATGCAAGATATAATCTACACGATGTTGAATAATTGCTCGAATTTCCTCTGTCGATATTTGTAATGAAAAAGTGAAGATAACGTACAGTGATCGATCCTACCCTAACAAAAAAATACTATAGTAAACTATAGTTAACTATAGTTTACTATAGTAAATCAAAGTTCCAAAGTTTTCACCATAGTAAATCAAAGTTCCAAAGTTTTCACCATAGTAAATCAAAGTTCCAAAGTTTTTACTATAGTAAATCAAAGTTCCAAAGTTTTCACCATAGTAAATCAAAGTTTCAAAGTTATTACTATAGTAGATCAAAGTTCCAAAGTTTTCGCCACAGTAAATCAAAGTTCCAAAGTTATTACTATAGTAAATCAAAGTTCCAAAGTTTTCGCCATAGTAAATCAAAGTTCCAAAGTTATTACTATAGTAAATCAAAGTTCCAATGTTTTCACCATAGTAAATCAAAGTTCCAAAGTTTTCACCATAGTAAATCAAAGTTCCAAAGTTTTCGCCATAGTAAATCAAACTTTCAAAGTTATTACTATAGTTAATCAAAGATCTAAAGTTTTTACTATAGTGAATCAAAGTATTAAAGTTTTTGTATTTTGTTTTTTAAGTTCCTTTTTTGATTATTAGTCCGTTTTAAGGGGGTTTATATTGGTTTGTTTAGGCTGGTTTTGTTGTTCATCTTAA